TGCCCTAAAGGTAGACTGTGCTTCTTTACATTTTTATCAGGACCAACTATCAACAGTGGGGACAGCTCTGATTTATGTTCCCTACATATTATGCATTTTTCTCTAGATTCATATTGTATGTATAAAGCATAGTATTTATCTAGTTCTGCCACTCTGACCATAAGCAAAATTCTATCTATAGTGACATCTTCATCAAATAAGCTGTTCTGAGACAGTCTCCCCAAAAGGTGCTTATCTAGGAAAGCAATTAAACTTTCATCTCATCATTTTTCCAATTTAAACAAGCAAGCTGATGACAAGTGAATCCATATTCCTTTGGGAATGACTATTCTATTTTCTGGACCTTTTTATAATTTAGATTACTTATCAAAGAGGCATTTACCTGCTTTTCCACTTAACTCATCTCAGTTTTCGGGGCTAGTTAATGGAATTAGCCCTGAAATTTCTTGCCATAATGCCATCAGGTGACCCAAATGGCAGATTTAAAAATTTTTCTTTTGGTTGTTCTCCATCCTTAATTATAACCTTAAATGTAGAAGAAAAAAGAAAAGAGAAAGATTTGAAGAAGGTCACAAACTTTAACTAGTGACTCAGAGCCCTTTGAAAATAGATGACCTTCGAAGTTTCCTTTCCATTTTTTTTGTTTGTTTGTTCCTAAATTCCCAAACTTGAACTTCTCAGGAACAATTAAACCAAATTGGTAAATGCTGATTTTACTACCCAAGTGGGTAAACAGCTCTCCTTAACCTGTTCTAAACATCTAGATTTGAATATAAGTATCTGAGCCCAAATAAATAGTTTTCATGAGTGAACAAATACAAAATGTCTACAGCTAGACCAAATAAGGGTGACCCAACTGAGTGTGAAAACTATAGAACAATATCATTGATTTCACATGCAAGCAAGATTCTACTGAAGATTATCCAAAAATGACTGGAACAGTACAACAGAGAACTGCCAGAAGTCCAGGCTGGGTTTAGAAGGGGTAGTGGTACTAGGGATATTGTAGCTGATGTTAGATGGATCTTAGCTGAAAGCAGAGAATACCAGAAGAATGTCTATCTGTGTTTCATTGATTAT